CAAAACATCACCTTTTGTGAACTTGGAGCTTTGAATATCAAGCCCATTTATGAAAATGTGTAGTACATATCTTCCCTTCATGAAGAACCATGTATCACATTAGTCTAATGCAGTTAATGTATTATATCCTCTGGGTAGCTACAGAGCAGTTGGATTACGTGAGTCATTAACATTCATAATTTTTTTTTTTTTAAAAACACCCCACACTAGTGATACTGCTGGAACAATAGTCATTGCAAGTCTTACGAAATGAGTATTTGAACTGCACTACTTAGGTACAGAACAGAGTACCCAGGTGTCCTGTAAAGTTTTCCTGCAGAATTTGGAAGCTTACACAAAAGCATACATGTGCTAGAGGAGCAAAAAAGCTTTTTTGTTTTGGGGCGGTTTTCTGAATTAAATTTTAAGTTAATTTATTACAAATAATTAAGCCCTAGAATGGAAGAAAGTGAATTACACACACCCTCTAATCTCTCTCTTATGCTCTGCACATCTGGCAGTCTACCTTAGCAATTATTTTGGCACAACAGAATCAAACCTGGCAAACAAGGCACTCAGTGCTGAGGATATGAAATCCACTCCTATGTGTTTGAGGGTGTTTACTCTGGACTACCTCTAATCTGGTCCTGCAGACTGAATCGTCATTCATGGCTCTAATGCATCTTCTAGTTTGGCTTCAAAAGAATCCAAGTTTGTGTGCTCCAAGACTGCTCTGCAACAGAAGCCAAAAATTAATAAGTGGAAAAAACTCTGATTCACTCCAAAAGCCAGCATTTTATTCAAAGTAAAATGCCAAAGTAGGTTCAGTCCCCAATTTCCCTATTTGAATAGAACAGGATTAGATGCTTGCTATGAGGAACTGACATAGCAGGACATGTATGACTCATTAGATTATGATATGGTTTCTAAAATTCCAGACTAAAGCAAGAGCCTGAGAAACAGGTTGATGGATTAATAGATCACATAACTGCAAACTCGTCATCTTGTAATCAGTGAAATTCCCCTGCTTATAAGAAGTTAAAGGCAATTTACCAGCACAAAACAAAACTTCATACTTTCCAGGACTGAAAGTAAAGCGTATTTGCTACAAACAGCAGCTTTTAAAAGGTAGAATTTAATTTCTGATCTAAGTAATAAGTCACTGGCTCAAGAAAGGCAAGGTGGAGGACAGGGAAACAATAAGCCAGGCAGCCTAACCTTAGCCCTGGGAGGGTTGCATAGCCAACTCCACTGGGAACTAGGTGACTACAAACAGCACGATTTTACCACAGGCAAATCATGCCTGGCTAACCTGACTGCCTTCTACAGTGAGATGGCCGACCCTGTGGACGCAGGAAGAGCAACGGATGCTGCATACCTTGATTTTTAGCAAGGCCTTTGACAAGGTTTCCCCACTGTATCCAGGCACATTAGTGACATACAGTTTGCATAAGTGGAATATCGACTAGGTGGAAAACTAGCTGGTCCACCAGACTCAAATGGTTGTGATCACAGTATGAAGTCCACCTAGTGGTGAAGTACCAGTAGCATTCATGAGAGGACCAGTACTGAAGTCAACACTCTTTATGGTCTTTATTACTGACCTGGACAATGGGAAGGAAAGCCACTCACAAGCTCACAGATTTTAGCAGATTGCAGGAACAAATTATATACTGGAGGGCATGACTGCCAGAGGGACCTCAGCAGGCTAAGAAACAGGTTGACGGGAATCTTATTAAGCTTCAAGGCAAATGTGAAGTCCATTACTCAGGATGGAGTAATTCCATACAACAGTACAGAGTGGGGGCTGACTAGACAGAAAACAGCTCTGCAGAAAACAAAAAGGTGGTCCCACTAGACCATCATGAAACTTGAAACAGCAGCACAACCTTACAGCAAAGGCAAACTGCATATTGGGCTGCATCACTAAGCATATAGCCAGCAGGTAAGGGAAGTGATGATTCCCCTGCACTTTATACTTGTGTGACTGTGCCTGGATTCGCATGTCCAGTACAAGAAACCACTAACATACCAAAGTGAGCCAAACCAGGAGCCATCATTCACACACATACAAGGAGAAACAGAACTAACTGGGTTTGTCAGCCTTAGAAGGATAAGGGCAGAATCTTCCTGTTGTTTTGTGGTGAAAACAGACTATTCTCAGAGGGCCACAGTAACAGGATTAGGCTAGGTAATGCACACAAGTTGCAGCAAAGGAAATTCCAATTCAATATTAAAAAAAAAATTGTTCACAATGGGAACAATCAAACATTGGAATAGGGGAACAGAAAGGCTGTGGAATCTCCACCCAGGAGATGTTCAAGTCAAAGCCTAGAGCAATCTGATCAAACTGGATCTGTTTGCAGGAGGGGACTGGACAAAATTATCTCCAGAAGATCCTTTCAAACTAAATTCCTCTGTAACTTTAGTAGTGCAACAACTTGTATTAAAAAAAGATCCAAGGTGCCTCATGACCATGGACACACACTGCAAACTGGAAAAGCTCCACCAGCTGAAGAGAGATCAGTGTCCCCCATCCTCTCCTTTTGTTCTTGCTGCATTGCTTTGCCATGTTCTGATGAGAACATAGCCTGCCTGAGGTATGCTAGAGTAAATAGCTCTTGGAGATAATAAGCAGCTGGAGATGGGGTAGAGAGAGCAAACTCTTCAAACTAGCAATCAGATCCACAAAAGGACATAGGCTATGGCTTTATCATTTGTCAGACTACCAATCCATATACTGTGGGTATATGCCTCCCAGGTGCGCTGCTCAATCAAGAGGAAAGAGAGGTTACCTCATGAATCAACACCAGGCTGCAGCCTCTGAAAGAGACCTCACATCTCAGCTTGGCCAAAGCTTGAAGAAAACATGAAAGTTATGTGTCAGACTTGTGCAATGGTATAATTGAACAGACTATCACATGGCTAAAATTATTCATTCATCATTCACTTGGAAGGTAGAAACTGAAATCATCACAACAATCAACTTCAGTTCTTTAGAACTAAATAACTAAGAGCTGAAGCAAACTTACATGGTATCAGGCTCAAAGGGATAGGATTAATCTCGCACCTCAGCCAATGGAAAATGAAGTACTCAAGTTCATTCTTACCTTTTTTTTTTTTTTTTTTTGTGTGTTAAGTCAAAAAGGCAACACATATTGGGATCAACTGCTCTCAGAAGTTATCTAACCCTCTTCATTTACCAGAAGAGCTCATAGTGAAGTTGCTAAGGTCAGGTGACATCAGTCATACCTAGAGTGAATATTTTAAAGAACCATTCAAATTAAAAAAAAAAAAAAAAAAAAAAAAAAAAAAAAAAAAGATTATGCATATTTCACTATGATTCTTTTTTTACTACATTCTTCAATCTCAACATCCTTTGGTGGCATTTTGATCTTCTAACTCCCAGAAAGAATCTCAGACTACTTACCTACTCAGGAAACACAACAGGAGAGAAAAGAGACAGTGATCAATAAAGAAAAATAATCAACTTTTTATTAGCACTTCAACAATTACCTGCTGTTCCATGGTAAAGCACAGTTTTAAGGGTAACACTGGTACCTCTGATTCAACATAACAGTATGAGGTTTTTTCCAAATACAAAGGAAAAGCTAAGTCTTATATTAGCTACTTATAAGCAGAGACACGTTGCATACCGCAGTTAAGATACTTCAAGTTTGACAAGACAAAAATTAACACTTTGGGATGTTAAATCCCTTCAAATCCCCTTTTTGCTTAGCTGGGAGGGGTAGGGAGAGAGAGAGAGAGGATTATTTCCTTGTCTTTCCCCTTCTCCCATTTACCTCCTATTTTTTGCAGACCTAAAAGAAAAATTGAATACAATGAAATCAAGAGGCCATACATGCTACATTCAAATACAGCTGCCATGATGTTTTAAATTAAAATTTCATTACAAGTCTTTTCCTGCAGCGTACAACATATAATGCTTACATGATAATTTTTATTTCAAATTATATAAAAGAGATTTGCAAAAAGGGCAACTTCTTTCATACATTGTTACATTGCTTAATGCATTACCTGTTCGAAGTCTGTGTTTTAAGTGATCTTCACATAAAAACAGAGGTAGCTAAGTAGAAATACTATATTTTATACAAGGTCTCTATACATGGTGTAATAAAAAAATGTTTGTTCTATCAGTCAAGATTAATTTCAAGACTTACTTCATAATAGTTTGTCTTCCCCAGATATGAATGCTTTCTAACACAAGTACAGCTATTTCTATTTAGCCTTCGTCACCATGGACATTTGCTACATCATTATGGAAACATGATAAATTCATTTTATTAGGCAAATATTTGAGTTCCACTCAAGTCCACTTAACATAATAAAAACAAAACAGCAATCTATGTCATAATTTAATTTAATTCTTTGCTGAACTTATTATGGGGATTTAACAGTACTTTTAATTAGATTATGAAGAAGTCAAATAATCAAAACACTGGATTTTAAGTTTGGTATGTTTCTGTGCTGTCCAAACAATAGCTTATTTATTTAGAAAAATTCTAATAAACTCCAGCATCTTAAATATGTTCAAAAGTGCCTTTTCCAGCATCACAAAAATGTTAATTAAGAAAGCATCACTAAATTTTAAGTAACAAATACAGTTAAAAGTCTAAGTGAACATAAATTGAAACACCGTGGTCCAAATTCTGTGAACAGATCAGATACGAAAGATGTTCTGCCTGTGCAGAACTGGACCATATTTTTCCTCCGACACTTAAAAAGGCAACAACTAGAAAAGATGAAGAATTTAGCAGCTGCTTAAAACATTTAAGCAGTGGAAGTAAGTGTACATTTCCTTGTCAGTCTTGAAGATCACTTAGTAGGTCCCTGAAATCCTGTGTTTCATTTTACGTAATTTAAGTGGGCACTAGAAAAAAGTGGAACTGTATTTTAAAGAAAAGTAACTTTCCTAAAATGTTTCTGATTCACACCATCCATATAATCCACAAAAGAAACAGTTCAATTTTTTACAGAGATATAATAGAACGCTATGCTTAGAATCTCAAATCATGTAAGCATCTACTTGCATCTGCTTGCATCTGCTTGTAATTTTGCTTTAAGTTTTGATGAAATAAATAGTTGTTTTGTCCATACTGGCCAAAGAACAGCTTTGATAAGACAGGATACAATTTTGGCACAGTATTTTTTAGTGAATTTCCATGACAGAAGTACAGACAGTTAGGAAGAGGGAGCAAATAACTACTTAAAGATGACCATGAGTTATTAGTTCCTGCTTCTAACAGCTCAATGTTAACCTTAAAAAGCACATTTTTGTTCTTTAATGCATTGCCTCATGGGAGATTTAGTTTGAAGGGCTAATGTGCCCATCCTTTCATAAAAGCCTACATTCCCTGACTGATCTACATCTCCTAGGAGTCAATGCAGTCTTCTCCAAATGCTGGCTGCTTTGTGACAGTAAAAGATTCTTCTAACTCGTTTTCCATGGCCTCTGTAACAAAACCGTAGTTGCAACCGTGAGTGGAATATAAATCAGTATTTAGCTTTGATACGATTCCCTGACTTTGGCCTGCAGGGCATCACAAGTCTTCTTAGCATCTCCCAACAACATGGCAGTATTTGGTTTGTAGAAGATTGGATTGTCCACCGCTGCATAACCGACTCCCAAAGATCTCTTCATTACAATGACCTGCATATAAAGAGTTCATGTCTGAAACAGCAAAAACCAGCCACCATCCCCACCTCAAACAAAGACAACACAAACCCAACTTCCACAAAGGGAGAGGAAGAGAGATCCCTGGCCAAAACAGGGGTCCTCACTGTTACAAAACTGTATTTCAAATTTTAATATAGCAGACAAATAGATATCCGGACCAGTTTCAGAAACATTTTGTTGTTAAACACAGTATTACATGTCAAATGAAGAGACTGTGGACACTACACATGCATATGCTTTTACTTTACTCCATGTCATCAAGTCAAAACAAGATGGGCACTGATGATTACAACACAGAATGTTTTTAAAGCTTTTTTATTTTTCAACTCTTTTAAGAACCCAGTTCCCTGACAGCAACACAATTCAGATGAGCGTTCACATCAATACTTGGTGCAATGCTCTCTGGTACTGCTACAGACTATCACTCTGTATTATTTCATACATTGAATTTAAAAAAAAAAAAAATCCTAAAATAAATTTCAGACAGTTTTAGCTATTAAATGTCAAATTAGTTAACCACAGCACCTTCAGCAGAGAAACTGTGAAGCTTTACCAACTTTAACCACATACACGTTTATTTCTCAAATTGCAACACATAGCTATGCACAAAACACTGATAAATACATGTCCCTATGACTCTGAGTACTTGAATGGCTAACCCACAGAAACACTGAGCCTGAGACTGGGTTCAGAACAAGAGGCCAAAGATTTCAGATCAAGGGAACTCAAGTATATGTACTTTAGATCAGATGATGTTGCTTTCAAAGAGCAAAACTGGTGAGGTAACTAAACTGTCAGTTCAATCTGGACAGACGAAGCTCTCTACTCAACCCAACTGCTCATTGTTTGTTTTGTTTTGTTTTTTTTTTTAATTTAAGCATATTATTCATTTTTTTATTTCCACCTCAATATTAAAATTGTCAATCAAATTTCCTATAAACTTAAAAAAGCAGGTATTTGTCCAGAAATGCTTCAGGGCTGCAGATGTGAGCAGAACACTGTTTATTCTAACCACATTTTTTAGTAGAAGTACTTTCATTGGTCTTTTCTACTTGGTCTTTTCATTGGTCTTTTCTACTGCAGTCATCATTAGTCTTACTAAAGATGATTATAAAATCATGAACAGCGTATCACACTTGCAAAGTACTGACTGTTTTTTTGGACACCTAGTAGAAAAGCTTCTCATGGAAACCACAAGAGTAGGAGAATCTTGTTAGCTTTTCCTACAAACCCCCTTTTTTAAAAGCATGCTACCTAAGGTAGCAGCTCTGTTAATCTCACCTGTTTGGACTTCCAGACCTCAAGAACTGGCATTCCAGCTATGATAGAGTTCGGATCTTCCTGAGCCGCTGAATTAACTGTATCATTTGCACCAATTACTAGGACCAAGTCAGTTTCTGCAGAAAGACAAAGAAAATAAAAATTATGAAAAATTATCTGAAACCTGTACACCGAGGCTGATGTACATTTCTGTGTTAAATCTGATCTTGAGGCGTTAAGAACCCCGTGTGATAAGTACTCTACAAACATTTATGGGGACTTCATTCACAAATATTTTACAAACTTATCAGGCAAGTTATATGTGAGAGTCCAAGTGTACTAGCAACTACCTCCAGCAGACCGCAAGCATCGGCAACCCCATTCCAAGGGACTCGTTAGACCACTCTGCCACACGAAAGTTAAATCCTTTGATATTTAAATACGGTTTCATACACATATAGTATCATCACCTTCAAATATCTTTGTGCCTGGCTTTTCCTCTAAATAGTCTTTCGAAAAACCTTTTACCAGCAACTTTCTGATTTTTAAATAGAGAAGAAAGCAAGAAGTTGTCTGTACAATGCTATACTGGTTTGCAAGACATGACAGGGTCAAGTCATCCACAGCACCTGACCTAAAGAAGTAACAGTAGTTTTCCTGTATGGAACAGTATAACAGTGGTAAAAGACACAGAATTTGTCATTTATTTCACAGCTATAAGCAATTAAGAAAACTGTTCTCTTGGTTCTGGAAGAAACAAGTTTCACAGGCCTATTTAACTTCCTTTTTAACCTCCTTCAATATCTACTCTTTTCTGTACTCTTGCATTCAATATTTCCCTTTGCTTTACCTGCCTGTACTCTCTGCTTCTCAGTTTTCTGCTTCTGAGTCAGGCTCTTTCTTGTATTCCTCTGTGCTCACTTGCCATCAGCTGGGAGAGCACTCAGATTGCAAGAGAAAGACCTCTGCTCCTCTACAGTGGTATCACAACAGGCACGAGGAGAAGCTGAATGGCCTGACTGAAATACTCTATTTTTGAAATCCTTGTTCAATGTAAAAACGGAATCAAATAAAAATTGACAAGATCAAATCCAATCTACTGGGAATTTGTAGCTTGCATTGCTAACCTGGGAAGTCTTCATTGATCTCATCCATTTCCAGTACAATATCATAGGGAACACCAGCTTCTGCTAGAAGTACGTTCAGCTGACCAGGCATACGGCCAGCCACAGGGTGAATACCAAACCTAACAGGAAAGAAAGTCCAACCCCATTAATACATACAGACCACTCTGTTTTATACAGTAAAATTGCCACCTGTGACCTACAAGGCTGAGAAGTTCTTAAGTATAAGCACACATATGAATTAATAAAAAGAAATGGTTAAACCTTAACAGTATCGTAATTACTTTTCCAGTGTTTCAGGGAACTGAGTGGGTGGGAAAGGGAACAAGGTGTGTAAATTTGACTCTTCACCTGGAGAGTAGCTGTTCCTTTTCTGCAAAGTTAAAAGGATGACTGATGCCACAGGTATGCAAAAGAATATGCTCATTTCCCAGTAAAACTAAACAAGATAGGAATACATTTTCAATCCTTCTCTTTCAGAAAGTTGTTACACCTGCGAAGTAGCTTTGGAGAGCCTGTTGGACACTTGTACTGACAACATGGAAGGAACTTCTGGCCAGAAATGTCTGGGAACACATCACTATAAGACGGACCAAGAGAGTAAATTTTCCACCCAGCAACAGCTTATACCAGCAAGCTTTTCTTCAATTACTTCTGAATAATAGGACTATTTTACCATTTTGACTGGCTACAATCATCAGCCTAGACCACATCACACACAGCAAGCACTTGCATTCACCTTCCAAGCAGTACCATATTTATAACCTTGTGACAGACACCTTTAGTTTTTTATGAATAAGTCTTCTTGCCGCAAAACCACCACCCACATTAACATGCTTCGCAGGTCCCTTACATCACTGAAAAATGAAAGCACCACAGAGCAAATGAACTGGCCACAATGTAACACTGTTCATGAGAAGGCCAAAAGACTGTGCAGCCTTCCTGAAGCAAAACCACTCCTAGACCTAGAAATGCCCTTCGGAAATGACCTTATTGACTCAGGTATCTCTAGAGTATGCACAGTTACTACAGTCTAATACTCCCAACAGAAAAATTAGCAGGAACTCTACTTCAAGCACAAGACAATCCTTTGCTGAATTAGGTTAACATGCCATTTTCTTCTCATGATTGATCTTAGGATGGGAAAAAAAAAATGGTGGGGGAGCGAGAAGGTGGGGAGCTAAGAAGCTATACCTGTTTAAGTGTAACAGTTTAAGAAAAGTTTTTCAGAACAGCTCAGAACCAACTTGGAGAAAATACACTGCTTATGAGTTACTAAAAATTCAGATACACACAGGGTGGCGGTGCGAGGTGTTAAGGCACGCATGCAGTTCTGTAAGAGTAAAAACCTGACAAAATTCAGAATGAAGATGTTAACAAGTTTAGCTGCAACTCCCAAAGACATATTTTGGTTAGAAGCAAATCTATTTCTTGTAGGCAGATTATACTCTTCTGCCTATGTACTGGCCCTGAATGAACTGGGCAGATCAATGTCTACTATCCTTTGCATTTTCTGCCTTCCCAGCTCTGGAGCTATCACCAAATGTAATGCTGACTCAAGCACACCAGAAAGGCCTCAGATGAATGTTGTATATAGCTGAAGTTAAACGTTTAATAAGGAAGTCTACTTGTACTTTGGAATAGACAAAAACATCCAGGAGAAAACTGTAAATTCTTGGATTTCTGAACAGAAATTTCTGAGCAGAAACCAAGCAAGTCAGGAATGCAATAGAAGGACTTCAGACTTCTTCAGAAAGGATGGAAAGACTGATAAATCAACTTGCCATGACAAAGGGATTGTCACATATTTCTATTTTCAACTCCACTGCAATGGAAGTGGATAACATGTCACTGATGGTCCACAAGTCACAGTCCAATCAACACAGATCACTTGTGAATTTAACACTGTACAAATACATCCTTAAAAGGGCAACTAAGCACTCCATCAGCAAGACAACATTAAGACAATGCAAAGATGAGACAATTGGAACTCCAGAAACAAAATTAAGGACATATGATTAATCCACATAATAGTAGATATACCACAATTTTAAGCTCTAGGTCAAACAGCAGGATAAAAGCTAATCTTTAAAAGAAATGCTTTTAAAGAAGCAAAGAGAACAGATTGTATTCTAAATATTTAGGATCCTGTTGCAAAGGCTAATACCTAAAATCAGAAAAAGGAGAGCAAATACACAGCACAAAACATTAACAGTTTATGTTTCACACCACTCAGTAATATAAGCCATGTGTAGTACTGCAGCTAGTCCTAAAGTGTACCAAATTCAATCACTTACAGTACAGTAGGAGAACTCTTATTCTGAAGTACTTGAGAAAACCCATCACTCCTCTGGCAGTGAAAATAGATTTTCCAACAAAATTCTCTTTTGTTTCTAATAAAATTATTTGAGTGTCTTTGTGACCAGAGCTGTTTTGGCAATACACAAACCAAAATACTCGTGAGGTTTCTATTAAACACTATATACACACAATCTTATTTCAAGGGCTGGAAAGCCAAAATTTAAGCTGCCAAGAGAATGAATTTCACCTTTGACTTCACTGTTCCTGGCAGGAGGCAAAAGAAAGAAGAAAAGAAAAGAAAAGAAAGGGACAAATTTATCTTTGTTCAGGAAGAGTTATGGCATCAGCCATCAGTAGTTAAAGACTTCTGACAGACTCTGCTTGAAACCACATACTGCGTACTCACAGAGTTTGAGAAAACTGCTCATACAAAAGTTTTTTGGACAAATATTGAAGTGACTCCCAGAAGTCTGCTTCTAAGAGCCTGTTAACCAAATATGACAGTAGCCTGCCAGTACCTCTTGAAACTGGATGTACAAGTGTATCAAAAAGCATCATTGAAAATATGTGCCTCTCTAAGTCTTTCACTATTTCACAAGGTAAGATCTACATATATCTGGAGTGAAATTAGCCTGTCTAATTGAAAGCAAAATTCAGGTAAGCCTGGAAAAGAGATAGCTAAAATCCTTGATGGCTCACAACATGCCTAATAAAAGCTGTGCATCTTGCTCCTGACTCTCAACAGCAGCACTTCTTCAAAGCTACATGTGTTACAGCAGAAATATTTTGTCACATATGTTCTCCTAGATGTTCAAAATATGAACCTCATTCATATTCAAAAATTCAAAACATGAATGATTTTAAAAGGGAGACATGTTTTATGGTAAAAATGTACTGAAGTGAAAAATTGGTAAGTTACTTTGATGTGCTTTTAATATCAGTTATGCCAGAACTCCCTTAGGTTGGTTGCGTTTTTTTTTTCAGTCTACATATACTTTACCCATTACAAAGATTCACAATCATGCTGTGTCCGACTTGAACTTTATTCTGGTAGTTCAGAATAGTTCAGAAACACAGCATTCACCAGAATTTTTTTCTCTTGACCCTGACTGTGTAATGCGGGGTTTGCTTATCACCTCCAATTGTCAAATACACTGAAGTGAGCATGCATCTCCTTGCTACTAAGACTTCACACCTAAACAGTGTGAGTTCCATGCAAGGCTACCCAGCCTTTTTAATCAGCCTCTTCTGGATACTTTTTAGCTTTAGAAAGACAACACAGCACACTGAAAAATTAGTTCCTATTTTGAACCTTTTCTTGTAATACAGAGAGTGCAACATTTTATTTTAAATTTAGACTAAAAATCTAAAACTCCCAACATACACATCCTATTTAGGACAGCACTTTCAGCACAGAAAGCATTTAAATTCGGGGGAAAAAAAGGTTGAAGTAGTATGAAGTTAATTATAGTAGTGTGAACAAGACAACTATCGCATGAAAAATTACTGAAAAATCTCAGAATGGAAATTACTTTTTATACAGCTCAAAGTCAGCATCTATCCTTATTACAACTGGCTAGATAACATTCATGTAATCAATACTGAAAGAATAGCACCTACCTAGCCCAATACAGAAGTGTTTCAAGATCACTTCATCCATGTAAAGACAGGATTCCTGTCATTACGCCAAAGCTGGACAGAGTGATGTAACTAAGTAACATCTGCCTGGTGCCTCATTTAGCTTACTCAACACTTCAAAAGCTGTATATACAGAGAATAATTTGCCAAGGGTTTTGCCTTACCTCCTCTTCCCCTCCCCCCATTCACTTTGTGTTTTGACACCTCTCCATCTCCATTTTTAGTACAGACAATAACCTGTTATTCAAGGTAGTGGGGGGAGGGGAGGGACAAGACGGACCGAGAAGTGCATCATTCAGATATTCCACAGCTTGAATCCTGCGATATAACAACAGCTGCAGTATAGCACAACTTGAAAGTATCACAGTATAACGCTTTCATCACACATTATAGATGACTATGTAGATTACTAGCATCAAAGCACATAGCAAGCTTAGCTTGCTTGGGCCTGGTGTCATGCCTGAGGCAACAACATGTCCCCAGAAACAGTACTTCAGCATGGACTAAGCTCAGTAGCTCTGCTGGGGTCAGGTGAGTTAAATTTAAACTGAATTAAATTAGTTAAATTAAGTATATTTAAGTGACAGTTGGTACTGGCTCCCTATTTCCAACCACTATGGTTTATCAGTGCAGGGGCAAGGTCCAAATACATGGCATGGACCTTAGCTCAATGCAAGAACACAACTGCAGGGAAGAAAGAAGAGCCTGCCTCGACAAAGCATCACAAACTGACCTAGTAAGGTCACCCAGAGCTGAGCTGACCCATATGGAACCAATGACATACCTACAATACACCACCCAGGAGCACACAGCAATAGCTGCATCCTTGCAGAAGGAGATCAGGTACAGCAAGGTTTGCTAGTTCTCTCCAGCTACACCAATACGGCACTTGAGCTAACAGATCTGTTGGACTCCATTTGTCCCTTCATCTACAGCGTTAATAACTCAGAACCCACCCAGTTAATTTGACTATAAGAAACAAACTGAGAACTGACACACATGTACACACTTAGTGTCTTCCCAGTAACCATACTGGATCTTCCTAGAACCCTGCATCAATGCACATTGGTGTCATGCTGCCATTCAGCAGTGACAGTAATTTCCATCTTATGCACACCTGAGCTACGCAGTATGTTAAGATTGATTGGGACAGCGTCTTAACAGCTCATCCTTTAAAATTCTTCTAGATTTTCTTGTAGAGTAACAAAGAATGATGACTGTAAATTGACAGAATTAAACAACTGAAGTTAATCAGGTTTTTTACTAAGTTGTAGATAAATGTGTAAGTGGTACCCATCCACATGTTCTATTACAAGCAATTAGAACAATGGAGGGAAAAAACCCACCACAGAACCCTAAATACATTTGACTACAGCTCAGCCATAGAGGTAACAATAAAAATAAAAAAATGCAGGTCCAACACTAAATCCATGGTATCGCATTTTCAAAAATGTAAGAAACCCATGTTTCCATGTGCTCAAAAGTAATTACATTCTCCAAAATGAGAAGGCAGAAATCCAAGTCCTTCAAGATATCCACCTATAAAAGTGAGGTTAAAAAAAATCCCCAAAGACACTAACATATTAACAAGTAATCTGGTAATCTGCATTTCTTTCAACTATGAGAGCTACCAGAAAACCATCATATTTAATTATGAGTTAGGTTGAGAAAGTCTATACAAAGCACAATTTTAATAGTCCTTTCACCTTGCAATACATTTTTGTTATCAAGAATTTCTTACTATGCAGGAAAAAAACCACACTGATAGAAAAAGTCTTACAAAAGTCATGTGGTGGCAACAGCTAAAGTAGCTAACTTGATATGGACATGGACAACACCAATTACCCATGCACCTATGAGAATGTATAGTTTTAAACTGTAGTGTACTACTATAGAATAATTATATATCTATATATAGAATTACTATAGAATATAATTAAACTATATAGAAGAAATCAGAATTTCACAACTAGGAGCCTACAAACAACACAGCATGTGCCTTAAGAACTTTGGTAAGGCAAGAACTTTGAACAGTTTACTTAGTTGTAACTTTGCAGAAATACACCACCAGTTGTAGAACAAGCATTTCTTCTCCAAGGCCGATGGATTCTGGGGACTACAGGATTTAGCCTATGAAAAGTTTTGTTGTTTTACTCATCCATAACAAGGGAAAGCTACAATGAAAGCTCAGCAATATCCAGCTTTCTGTGTGACCCTACTAATGCATTAAAGATGTGATCTGCTGCAAGACCATCTCAAGGAAGCGATGATGTTAGCTATGCAATTTAATAACTAGAACAGTCTGAAGTTTCCAAACTCTCCCATATTTCCAAATTTAAACCCTAGTCAAAGGTTATGCATCATGTTATATAATCTGCGCTCTTCACTGACAATGTTATGGCTATAGGCAAAGTAAATGAAAACAACAGCTCCTCTGGATCAATTGTGAGCCATGAAGCAAAAAAATACCATATGACAGACGCAATTTTTCTTGGCACGGTATGGGCATTACAGATTGATGACAATCATATGTCCATGCTGGCACCCCTCCACAGCGGATGTGTGAGAATGTCACTACATCTGGATGGTGAGCGTACTAGGGTCCCGAGGCACTCCAGGCCTACTGAAACCAGAGGGACAGCAGCTGCACTCAATGAACACCATGGGAGCTCCACAAAGTGATGAAAGGCCTGAATTACCACAAACTGTAAATACAGATTTATTTCATTAAAATACTAGGTAACCACTGCAGTGATCCCTTCCTGAAATTGACTAATTTCAAGTATAAGCCAGTTATTTCAAGGATTCATTCACATTTCTCCCATGCAAAGCCAACATAAAAGGCAAAACCAATAATCTTTTATATCACCAAGGTTGATTAAAAAAAAAACCTCATCCCAACAGAAGCACTGAAAGGGAAGCCAAAAGCACGCGACACTGTCATCACATTAGCCAAGAAAGGTTCTTTTGTTGCACAATGAACAGATCTTCAAAATTTTTATAGGCAAGGTAGACTGTGGAATTTTAACCCAAGAAGGGCATCTATCATTATAGTGTGATTAATTCTTCTCAGCATTGTTTCAAACACACCTATCAGAATTCGATGTTACTACCTGTATTTTTTTATATATATACAAACATTGCTGTGTAGTAGTAGGCATTACTTCTATTAATGCCAAGTCAGTTATCCCAGGAAAGAAGTAAGTCCCATGTTCTTTGTGCAGAGGCTGCTACCTGATCTACTCTTCCACTTCATATGAGACTGACCCCAGCAAGCACTTCTCCATACTGCAAGAGGCTCTCGTTTCCCCACTAGGAGCCTCAAGTATTCCCATTGCACCCCTTTAACTATTCCCCAACAGTTTCACAAGCAGGGAGGTCCATTTCCTCAGCAAATTAGGACTTAAAAAAAACCCCCAAACCCTAAAGCTATTTAGCCTAGTAAACAATCCCGCTTAACGGAGGTTTCTCTAGGAGGCAATTCAAAGCACTTCAGTTAGGCCTGTGCTCTCTCCCCATTGACAACAAGCATAAAGAAAAAACATTCTCCTTGCTTTCCCTGCACTGCAGTCAGCTGTTGTGATTGCTCCTCACAGTAACATATTTCCTCAAAGTGGTTGCTTTCACAGAGCTCTCCAACCTCCACCTTTAGAAAAGGCTGCTAACTGTTCTCTTGAACACAATACAAAAAGCTACATTAAAGTTACTTTAAGGTATGTTAAGCTACTTCCAAAAAACAAATTTAATAAGAGTGTAAGGGAGTAAGGGATCTTAATTCCCCAAAGTAAAAGGTAGAAATACCTTTTAAACTAAAGCATGAACTTTCTAGATATTTAGCTATAGGTTAATAGGATTGGAGCTCCAGCTAGTACTTCTGAGAGAGAGCTCAGCATAATAATGGCTGCTGAAAGAAAAATTAAACGAACACACAGACTTGTAGGGGATTTTCAAGGAATGAAAAAAATAAAAACCAACCCCACCCAAAAACCAACAAACCTGTAATACTTTTTGTCACGGAAAGTACTTACCTGACATTTTTCCCTTGTTCTCTCAACATCTTCACCAGATCAGCTATGGGGTACTGAGCTTTTGCTGCACACAAACCATAACCTGAAAGAATTTCCAAATTGTAAGCTATCTTTCTGTTTCAGTGCAGACAGAATAGTTACAGACAATAAGTGTACTTCCCACACAAGCAGAAGCTCTCACAATTAAATATAGACAAACAAATAATATCTATATTCATATATAGATAGATAATTATAGATAGATAGATAAACATCAGTATCTCAGATACTCATATATTCCCAGGGGAGTTTCAGCCTGACTGCTGTAATTCATCTCACCTTTTTGGTCTCCTGACCACTAACAGCAGAGTGGTTTGACCAGTCAAACTACACAAGTAACTTATTTCAGCTTCACAAAAATGCATGTTCCTTTCTCTATCAGAAAAGGACGTTTCAGACAGGTAGGCTGAAAAATTGATAACAAGGCTACTATCAGGTTACTTCACCACCATATCCTCCACAAAATTTTGGATTTGCATAATGCAAGTAGTCAAATATGGCTTTTAACAGCAAATAATCTTTTCAGTCTTTCTGTCTGAATTAATTCATCAGAGCAGTAATGCCCAGGAAGAAAATGCAGAGTATAAATTATTAATGGCTTCCTCAAGGTTTGACCACAGGAGCAAGAGGCAAACTCCTTAAAGACGTCTGCAAGCTTTGTTGGAAACAAAGGTAACTTCTCAAATTAGAAGCTGAAGCAGAATGGAAAGACGACTTTGTTTTTTAGCATTCTTCTCATTCCAATGCTAAAATAAATTTAACGCAATAGTTGTGCCATTCAGTTGAACAAAAACAAATCTTGAGCTGTTCTCTACCTGACCTCTCCTAACAGGCAATGTGCTATTGAACCACGAGCCTACAGCCAACATAATAGTTGGGCTTTGGTTTTCAGGGTTTTGGTTTTCAGGGTTTTTTCCTACTTCAATCCAGTATTTGTTGTATACTAAGTTTTAGATGTTTTCCTGCCTTTTTTTTTTAAATAAAACAATGCAGAATTGAGCGAGTAGATGAGAATCATAAGTTACTGAAAGAGACGATTTTGTTTAACAGATTTTTTTAACATGTTTTTTTTTTTTTTTTTTTTTTTTTTTGTACCACTGGTACTGTGGTAGTGCCTGGAAACTCACACCACAACAGTTGTACACAAAATTAACTGTAAACTTAATTTACAAAAGAGAGTCTTTGTCCTGAAGAATTTAAAACCTAAACAAATAGGATAAAAGTTTGAACAGACACATACAAGGAAAAATAAAGTTGCATTCATGTCTACACAGAGGAACAATGACTGACCTGCGAACAAACACAGATCCCGCAGACCCAGTCAACATTTGACATGCTGCTGCTATGTTGCAACTGCAAGATGGGCTACAGTTGTTTGTTTTGGTTTGGGTTTTTGGTTGGTTGGTTGGTTGGGGGGGTGGAGGGGGCTGTGTAATAATACATCCTCAGAACATCTTGCTGTACGAGTCAAGAGCATCTTACCTGGAGTAATAATAATATTATTGGCTTCCTTTATCATTTCAATTGCATTGTCCACATTGATTTCTGTGTGGGTTCCAGTAATTTCCATGGGCTTCCCACCAGCTGTTGACGTGGTGCCATAGCCCCCTAGAATCACATTTGCAAGGGAACGGTTCATAGCCTGAAAGACAACAGGTTTTTGATCAGCTAAATATAAAATCCAAAAATAAAGGAGAGATGTCCACAAAGAAAACTTCTGAAAATATTAAAGCCTTCCTGACAATAGTTTTTATCTGCTGGATTTGCCTGCTTACAACTCAAAACATCTTAAAACAGGTTCCTTAAAACAGAGACCCAGATTAACACAACACTAGCCAAACATCAGCTTGTAACCCATTACATTACACATGTGATGAGAGAGCATCAGCATCTCCCCAAGACAAAGAACAAAACAACACAAATAGCAAATATCTGTCTCTTTTTGTTCTTAAAAGGGAAGGATATAAAGGAATGCATATTTGATGACAGAATTTTTTTTTCCACACATATATATATACGCACACACACAATTTTTGCAAGATATTTTAAGTTCTTGAGCAATTCAACAAGTAAGCGTAGAACTGCTATATGACAGCATGGAAACCACGTAGCTCTTGCAGGTACTACAGAACCAAAGCTCCTACAGCATCAAGACAGGAAAGAACACAACAAAGCTAAGTAGCCACACAAAACTAACCAAATGCTAACTCAAAACAAACTGTAATGAAGTGAAGGGGGCCATTAACTTACTGGCTGAGCACCAAAGGGGAACAAGAGATCTTAAACTAGAAGCTTTAAGAGGAGAACACATCCTGAAAATTTGGCTCCGTTAGATAGCCAGGAAAAGCCACCGGCTAAATGCTTTCACTCGCATGTCTCCTTGTGAGTGTGGTCCCAAAGCAGTATCTGGCAATATCTGGAAGTAGGCAAAACTTATAATTGCAGTAAACAAAACTTTAGAAGCAGGAAAGGAACAGGATAAATTGCTTCTTTAATTAAACACGTGTGTCATACATCTGCTGTGCTAGCTCAGAAACCACAGCAAAATTTAAGAATGGATCTGGAGAGGCACACATACAAGTGAGAGGAAAACACCCACACAAAAGTATGCTTCCAAATGTCCATTTTCAACTGACATTTCAAATCATGCAACTCCACAGGTTTTCTGCTATAGTCTGAGAAGAAGTGCCATTCTGTTTAATTCATCATCTAGCAAATAAGCACAGCAAAGATGTTAGAAGAACTTTTGTTTATCCTGACAAATCATCACTGTTTCAGATACTGTAAGGAAGGCACACAAATGCAGCGAAATCAGTATCTTTCTACTGTCTGCAGTAGGCAGTAGTTCATATCCTCTAAGAACACACTGCCTTTTCATGTGTATCACAATACTAAACCATCAAGCACAGACTACTTAGTATATTACAGCAGTTAAGTGTTAGTTTAAGACAGCCTAGACAGAAGAATTCCCTCTTCAGATGTGGCACACACTAAGCTTAGAAGCAAAGCACTTTCCACACTTCTGTAAACCAAAAGACAACAGTAAGACCAGGCCCAAGGAAAAAAAGTTCAAATGTTATTAGAAATTTTAAACATGAGATTGAAGTACCCTGGCCTGGCTCCACAGCAAAGAGCTGAGGAAAGAGGAGGGAAGTCTGGCAAAAAAAAGGGGGTAGTACAGAAGGCTTCAAAATGAGCCAAGATCTCATCAAGCAACAATTAACCAATGCAGTTAGCTGCACTGACCTACTCAGCACTGGGACAGTGTGGAAACTCTTCTATTAGCCTCTTTCACCTTCTTTACCACCACAGACCACAAACATTTATGCATAGAGTGCAGGCTTCACCATTCATAGATAATCCAGCCAGCAGCAAAAAGCCCTCTATGCTGTGCATACACAGGCGATACTGGCCAGGAGCTTACAGCCCAGGGAAAACCAAACACTTGATCCCTGAGAACTCCCAAGTCCTTCCACTGTGCCCACAGAAACCGCACAGCTTGTACAGAAGATAGGCCAGCATACAATTCGTAAGACTAAAACAGTTTGTCTCTTCTCGTGCTCTGTTTCATCACCCTAATTAATGGTTCCTCTTCAACCTGAAGCATTTTCCCCATCCCTAAGCATACTGATTCTAATACTACAGTTGCAATCTTCAAGTATTGATTCTGAAAAAAAAGGGAGAAGGACATGCTAATACAATCAAGTGTTCTGAAGAAGTGTTAGTGCTTTAAAACAAGTCACAATTCACAGGATGAGTGAATGGTACAGGCCTTTGATTTTTTTGTTTTGAAGTTAAACTCTTTGTCTTTAACTCACCCTACTAATAGGTACAAAAGTGGGATGGGTAGAAAATCAAGCAGGTACAAGTGCAATAACTAAGTGGTTATCTGAATACATGTTGGCCAATTTTATCAACTCAAGCTTTAAGAGATTATCTGGATAGGCTTTGCATGATTAAGCTACAGTTTTATCACAAAATGTAATTGGAAATGTTGTAAAAAGAAGTTTTCAACCATTAAGATGTTTCCACAAACACCTTCTCATCTGTACTAAGTAAGCTTCAATAAATATACTGCTTTGGATGGAAGTCATACTGGAGGTGGGGGGAGAGGGGAAAAGGGAAAAAAAAAAAAGAAAAAAGAAAGGGGGGGAAAACTGTTGCTTCATTAGCACAGGTTGCAACAGCCTAAAACAGAGTTTATTAAAACTCTTGAGCATTTTTTCTCCTGAAATGCAGCTTTTAGACAATGATACTGAATCCCCCGATTATAACACTTTTTTTAAAAGTAATGATTTCCATCAAAGTAAGTAAAGCAGAAAAGAAAAATGCTAAGCTAGAAACAAGTTATTCCGCTTATTGTGTAGAAATTATACCAAATAATTTTAATTTTACTGGCTGATCAACTTTAATTGTCTATGCTTATGTAAAGCAGCACACAATTTCTAGACTAATACCTCAAAAACTAAACTTCCTGAAATTTGACAAATACATAGAGTAAAGCCACTCTGTCTGCATAACTATCTTCCTAATTACTGCCCCGGGCTTCCTATTTACCTAGATTCCTCCAACCAACAGATATAAGTATCTCAAAACTCTCTGTGAGCACTAAGAGGAGCTAGCAATAAAATAAATTAAAAAAAGGAAAGGGACAGTAAAAGAAAAATGAAGGTATAGCATGAATATGCCTATTAGTAAATACATACCCAACAGATAATATTTTCACTAAAGATCAAATTCTCATGTCTTGAAGAACATACTTCTCATACCTGCGTTGCCCATAGGCATCATCTTTCTACTGATATGGACTAAATTGCTGACTGTATACAAATATATATGTGTATATATGTTTATATATAAAAGATGTCCCATGAGCCACATTGTCTGATTTCTTTTTGATAAGGAGATACAAAATGTTCAAGAACGAACAAGATTCTTTAAAATTCATACCTGGGATTGTTATTTTGAACTCACCTCCATCAAGCTGCACGAAAACACTTTTTTAAGCTTTTCTGAAATTGTTCGTCAAGAGAGACGAACATGAATGATACTGAACATTCCTAACATGGTAACAACACTATTTATCAGCAGAGGCGAAGTAAAAGACAACAGCCAGGGCTGACCATAGGAACACATCAGGACAGGAGAACAGCGACACTGATCATACAAGAACACAAGAGCAGAAGTGAAACAGAATTACACAACAGAGAATCAGGAGGTTGGCAGCTGTTGCACTGTGAACAGTTTTCTCTAAGTCATTACCTCTCCATCTTTGAAAACAAAAAGGAGAGACACACAGGAAAACAAGAGACTTCTGTACAAACGTTCCAGAGAAAAGGAGACCATTACTAATAATGCAATATGATTTACACAGAGTTGAAGCTCAAGTTTGCCCTGACACAGACATTAGTATCAACAACACGTTAATGCAAGCCTGCTGCCACCCCGTGGTACTTCGAAGTAGCTGCTCTGAAGGAAGCAGCACACTTTCCTACACTCAAAAAACCCAAACTTTAGATTAACTCTCTAATCAAACCAAACTTTGGTTTTTTTAAAGAAACTCACTACTTAAAGTATCTCCTGCTGATAAATTTTGAATTTATCTTAAATTTAACAACATTGAAGAGTGATGACTGAAAAAAACAGCTGAGCACAAGTAATCATACCTATTTGAGCCCAGATTCAAATCCTCAATGCCCAAGTCAAGGCAAAAGCTTTCCTTGGTTTTTAAGTACATATCTCTCCAAACCAAAGAGAGGTGACTGACATCTAGTCCAACAGTTTCAATGAAGAATTTTCTACTCCGTCAACACCTAGCAGTTTGGTTTTCCAATTGCTTATCTTCCTAGCAAACATGCTAAATAAAGTTTCTCATTACTCGGAAAACAAGCACCATTTCTGCTGACTTCTTACCACACACATGATGTAAGAGAGGATGGCCCCAGAGGAGCCAATGAGTGCACCAACAATGGTCAGCAAGTTGTTGTTCAGTAGGAAGCCCTCAGCACACAAAGCCCATCCAGAATAACTGTTCAGGACAGTAATAACTACAGGCATGTCAGCACCTCCAATAGCTGCTGTTAAAGTGACACCCTGGAAAAGGAAAGAAAATACTTCAGTATAAGCTATGACTAAGGAGAACACGCAGAGAAGGCACTCTGCCTGCAGCACTGAAATATAAATATCAAGTTACTTATAACCTATGCAAGTATTTTCAATTTCGGAGACATCAAGCTGTGGCCTGAGGATTGGACTTAAGAGATTCTGCCTTTTCAGAGAGGACAGCAAAGCACTCCACTGTCCTCATCCTGTGTTTAGTCACGTATTTTTACCCACAAAAATATCCTACCAGGGCCATGGATCTGTTTATACCATTAAATGATTCATACTGAGCAGACTGCAAGACTCAGTTTACAGAATAGTAATATTCAGGGTAAGTTTTACAACAGCTGGTGTGAGTGTATGGGGCAAGTTACACATGGGTAATCTTACTAAGTTATCATGATAACCTATAGATCCAGTGCTCAAGTATTTTAAGGATAAACTTTCCAAAAAGTTTTTTAAAATATCAGTTTGTCATATAAAAGGCTCCATTAAGTCATAGCTGCAGAAAGTAATCATATACACACATGCCTGTTCTCTGGAACAGTTCTGGTTTACAGCTAGATTTAGGAAAGTCAGCTGCTACTTGCTACTGCAAGTTAGCATACAGGCACTATGACGATTGTGACTCAGGATATACAATCATGAAGAGGAAACTTGCAAAGCTGAAGAGCAAATCACTTGTTTAATTTGTTTTACCTCCTACAATTCCCCAGCTTACCATTATGGCTGAGAGAGCTGACACCGAACCTAAGCAAGTAATTCCCGTAGTGTAACTAGGATCAATCATGTATGGAACCATTCCACCAATACTGGCAGCCAGCAATCCCGCATTCAATGCATGTCGACCAGGCAAGAGCAGTGGTGCAGAATTCAGGATACCTGCAATCAAATGCATATTCAAAGATTGACACATACATGCAGGAGAGTCTCTCTTGCCTTCAGAGAAGGCTGAATACCTCAGCGAAAGAAAAATTAAAAAAAGAAAAGGGGAGGGGCAGAAGCTAAAACAAGTCAGTTGAAGCTGAGACCTTGTGCTGACTCAGTATTGCAACACATTCAAACTTACTGTAGATTCACAAATACTCCTGTTTAAACTCTTTTTACTTCCTAATCTTGCTGAAGTGCTTCAGAATAATCACAAAAATCTCTTCTCCTCTCAAAAAGCCTTTTTTTTTTTTTAGAACAGTTTCACTCTGGCCCCAAGTCATTGCATGTTGTATATGACGCTCTGTAATAGGAAGCTTTTAGCTGGAACTTCTTAGTACAGGTATTATCTCAGTCTCTCAAAAGCTGTGTACTTAGAAAAATATGACTACACACATAACCCCAAATATAAAACGCTCCTGCTTTCAAATGCTTTAATTTCACCAGTACCCTCAGTCACATACACTTCCCACATTGGCAGAGACTTGAGGGGAAAAGAGGGTTCAGTATTAGTGTGATTCAGATTAAAAAGATAATTACATATTTATTTTCACCCTAGGCTTTTTTCTTTCCAAACAACACAAAGAGTAAAAATAACGCAAGGTCATCTGTTACTTTTGGTGTAAGTAGTTACTTACCGAGTGTCTTACTTAAATTTAGCTGAATTCAAGGGAAAGAATGAACTGATGGTCTCAGGACTAGGAGTCAAAGTGTGTGACTTACTACCTCTAGTTCAATAGTATAGACAAGCTTATTATTATCATGCTGATATGAAAATGCAAGGGGGCAGGGGAGAACCAAAAACAGGAGAGTGGACTGAAACAGGCAGTGAAGTTCACCAGGGACATGCGCACAAATCACTGAGGGGGTGAAGGGGGTAAGATGGAAAACAGAAAAAAAAAAAATAACCAAGAAGAAATAAATAAGTAACTACTTAGCAGAAATACATCAGAAATACATACTACTGACAAATCCTTCAAAAGATTATTAGAGAAGACAGCTTTCCATCCATGTCATGCTTCCTCCTTCAATGGCTGGTTTCATAAACACTGAAGAAAGCAAACAGATGTTTCCCAAAGGAAGTATTGCAAAGCTAATAACAGGATTAGTAATAGGAAGCTCTTAGCCGGAACTTCTTAGTACAGGTATTATCTCAGTCTCTCAAAAGCTGTGTGCTTACAAAACCAAAAATAAATGCAATAAAGAAACCTTCAGGTGCATAAGAATCAGGAATCAGTGAGTATTTAATTTAGGAGGCCTATTTACTAAAACAGTAAGAATTATGGAGCATGGAGTTTGCACAGTAGGTAAGTAGTGAACTGAATGGTTTAAAGTGAGGCAGTCTGAACTGATACCACAAGCTACCTACCTAAATGAAGCCTACAATGCTAAGAACAAAATCCCATAAACATTAGCAGTGCTCACTGAGTCCAGTAACACGAAGGTTTCAATTAAAATGTCTGCTCAGGAATACAAAGTTGTGATCATAAGTGTTCAATAAAATCAATTAGAGAAACAGTGTCAAGTAGTGTCTTAACAACACTAAAGTAACACTTACTCCTAGACAAGATGAACTGAGGGAAGCTTATATAAGACTTGGTAATTAGCAGCAGTAGTATGTCCAAGCACTGCAAACAAACCTTTCACAACTGAAGCTGTACACAAATTAAACAGGATTAAAAAGAAAAAAGTACACTCCTAAGAATTTAACATATAAACTTTTACCCGATGCAAAATACAAAGTTTCTTTCCAATTAGACAGCGGTCTAAAGGCAGAGCTAAACCCTGGGGGAAAAACAAAACATTTTTAACAAATACTTAATTCTGAACAGAAGGTCTCACCTTGCAGTTTTCCATAAGCAACAAGAGAGCCACTGAAAGTGACTCCACCAATGTACGTCCCAAGGTACGCCACAACCTTGGTGAGGTTTGCAGCTGGATCAGTAGCGAAGTGAGGATATTCAATCATGTATTCTGCTACACAGGTGAGCACAGCAGCCAAACCAACCAAACTATGGAAAGCAGCCACTAGCTGAGGCAGATCTGTAATCTGGATGCGTTTAGCAATCGTCAAACCTATTGAGAGTTGAAGACAGAAAGGAAGTTTTACAAAACACAACCAATCTGTGCAGCTAGGAATTAATGTGAATACAACGAATACATGCACACACATGCCTGTTCCAATGGAAACGAATTGTTCTACACTAGAAATTGCTATGGTATTTAACTGAAAGCTGCATAAGTGTATTTTGTGCAATGAGGATATCATGGAAATTTGAGAGAAGATTAAAGCATGTCATGTTCTTAGAAGCTTCACTAAATATTGAGAAATTCAGCATTTTCTGTGACAAAAACAGTGTGAAAAAGGGAATTGGGCAGCATTCAGTCAGGAACTTTCTCCACCAGTCTCCCCATTCTTTACCACATCCTAATGCATTAATAAAAGCCCTGGGACTTTTGATTCTTTGTTCAAGTATTTGCAAAATAACAAACACAAACCATAAATGTAAGTTAGTCAATTCACCTGTGAGCTATACAATATTTTGTGTACATACAGCTTGCATAAATGCATGTACAGAGCATATATACTTAGTTTATAGTATCACACACATACCTATGGTACCACCAAGTGCCATTGCACCTGACATCTGCGCCAACAATTCAGGTGAGGGTTTAAGGCCTCCAAGAGTCGCTGCTAAACCTCCTGCAACACCAATCATACCCAAAGCATTTCCAAGACGAGCTGTTCCTTGGGTGGACAGACCAGCCAGGGCACCAACACAGCATAAGCCTGAGCCCAGATACATCATCTTTAAAGTAAGAAAAAACATCAGTATGCATACATGAAGTGGAGACGAAGTGTATAATCATTATAAAAACCTTTCTGATTATTACACAAAAGGGCTGACTTCTCCAGAATGTGTGTTAAGCCACAGTTCTTAACTGAAGTCAAACCTCTTGACTGTGAGAAACTGTTGTACAGGATGTGATCCTGGCCAATTAAAATGTGGTATCTATTAGAACTTCTTCCCCACTTTATGACCTTGGTTTATCTGCACTGTGAATACTAAACGTGAGTCAAGCCAATTTTCCTCATCAGTTCAGAAGCAAGTTTTTCTTTAGTACAAACCCAAAAGTAGATTGTCCCATTTGTTATAGGAATAGTTTCAGAATTTACTTATGGCACATCTGACTCCTGTTTTCAAAAAGTATAGACAAACTGAAATGAACTGAGCTGTACATGTCTAGATAACTGAAAAAACTCAAATATATTACAAGCCCCTGGCATAGAGGTATGTTTGGATTCACTTTTTCCAAACACAGAAGGCAATGCGCATTGATTTTTCTTGCTGCTAAAACAAATGCAAACAAAAGTTTACCATAAAAGGTGCTATACGTACAATTCTTGTACATCCCTCTGTGCTGAAATCTCATCCCACCCAGATGTCATACCTTCTTTAACTGTCATGCCAAGCTGAATGTCCAGAAACATTTAAACCAAAGACTGATTTCTGTAGTCACTCTAATATTTAAGCTGTAATTTAGGAAAACTCTCCAATATATAACAAAGTACCTGCTGCTTTACAGGAAAAAAACCCCACCCAAAGCTTTTAAAAATTTGCAGAGTCAGCATTTGGGGTATGATTGCAAGCTTAACATTAATCAACTTCAGATTGGCCTTGTGGGAATATGTAGCTGATGAAAAGACCATGGCTAATTTGCTATTTACTCCTCAGAGTAAGCAGTGAAGAAGCATGCCATGCTGTGAACAGTGGGCTAAGAGCCACAAAGTTATCTTCTTACCTGTTCAATATTATAGCCACCGTTGAGAGCAGCTGCATAGCCTCCTACAAATACACCACCAGGAAGTAGGTACAAGTAGTTGTACTCAGGAGGATCTGTGGGACGTTTGAACATATCCAGCATTCTCTGTGTAACTAGAAACCCACCTAGCCAAAGTAAAGGAACAGTTTTACAAAAATAACCTCTGAAACTAAGCATATGCTAAGCTATAAGAGAAATATTTGGTTAAACCATATTACCACACAAAGTCAGCAACTGACACCAATACAGCCTCTGAAAAGCTAGTAATCTGGAAAACCACCAACAAACAAAGGTGTAATCATGGTGAGATCCTGTTGTCTTTTTTAACCTTTGGAGGAATAAAAGGAGCAGTTGGAAAGCCTGCAGGACTTGCTCTGTCTCCATACTCTACACTGACTGCCGGATACAGCTTAGTTTATGACTGTGCCCTTTTCCCTATTTACTCTAGCAAAAAGCAGTATTTGTAAGTCACATTGCTCACTTTCTTATCCTTTTTATTCATGAAGCTGGGACTTTGGAAGCTCAAGCAAGCAGAATTTTGTTCTATGCCATTAATATATTTTTCAAGTAGGAAAAGGAATACAAGGACAAATACAAATACCATGCTGGGATATACAGGAAGATATTTCATATAATCATCAAACAAAAGATACCATAAAAGAAAAAAGCACATTTAAATGCCTCCCTAAAAAAAGGTCACACCACAGGGTGTGTAAACCAGATACAATAACTACTATGAAAACCTGGGTGGGAGGGTCTTTATTGATGGATGCTCTCAGATCCTATTCCCAGAATAGTATTTCTGGAATCTATACAATTAAAGGGGTAGAAGAAATAAAAGAATTACACAAGTAAAGTTACCCTCAGGAGAAAACCTAATATATTCATACCTGCAATATTGACTGAAGAGATAAAGGCTGAAAGCACTGCTAGACTTTGAGGAGTGTTTTCAGGGAGATAGTTTCCTCCCATCAATACCAGCCCACCAACAGCAGTTAGTCCTATTTAAGAGAAAAAAGTGTTACTGAACCTTAAAAGGCTCTATACCTATAGCAAGTTTCCTTTCATCTGCCAAAAAGATACCAGTCAACTCAAATTTTGACCCCTACTCTACACATTACTATTTAAACAAAGACAACCGTGGTCATCTTCAGCAATACAAACATGTTTCAAAAGAAAAAAATTAGTATATGAATATAGTTTTGAAGTACAGTGGCTCAAGCACAGAGTCAGCCTCCGAGTAGTTTTCAATAAAAGAAACTTTGCTTTTAACAGTCAAAGTAGATCAGACTCATGACCTGTTACATATATACACAGAGCTATATAAAATCTTACATATTTATAGTTACGAACCTTACAGGTCACTTAAGAATTTTTTCTTTCCTCCCCCCCCATCAAAACACATAGTTTGAGGAGAGGAAAAAAAGAATGCAGAAAACATGAAAGACAAATTATTTTCAGGGCAACACTTTGAAGAGATGGGAGGAAAGATGTGTTCTATGAAAGGAGAGACTGCAGCACTCCAAGTAAAACAAACTTTAAAGCAAACAGGTTAATAGTGAAAAATTACTTATAAAAATACATAGCACTACATTCGCCCTTCTCTTGAAAAAACCATACTCTCAGAACGAGTATGTTTCAGGTGTCCTTGCTATTTATGTAAACTCAGACATGCAAAGTAGTACTACACTCTTTATCATTTTAAAAGGTGTATCAGCAGACCTTCTGTCTGAAGTTTGAGTAAAAGGAGCTGTGCCTACTTCAAATAGAAAATAAGCAGTTGTGTGACAGCTACTTACCTGAGATAGCATTAGTCACTGACATGAGTGGAGAGTGAAGAGCAGGAGTCACACCCCATACTGTATGGTACCCCACTATTCCAGCTAGGCCAAATGTCGTCACCATTTGTGTGAAAGCAGTATTAGGAGCTACAATGCCCAGTCCTAACATGCCAGTTAAACCTAGAAGAAAAGCACAGCAAAACTTTTCTATAACTTCAATGGTTTCTTACATTTAAACTCTGTACAAGAGCCGTCCAGTATTGAGCTAAAAGCACAATGGAGTTTTGTGCATGGACTTCTTTCAAGATTAGGTGGATCATCTTTGTCAACTACAAGGTTCTTTCGGTGCTAGTGTTTCTTTTACAATAGAAAATAAAACCATAAATATGATACACACATTTTTGTTATGCATGGACACAAAGCAGCAAAGACAGGTTTCTACACCAACACTGAATCCTGTCACTCTCCTGTTCTATGGCAAAAATGTGGAGTCACAATCATGTTGAGATACTACCTGGAAGACTCAAAGCATGCATATGAAGAACAGAGGTTAAAATTAAGAATATTCAATTTATTAATTACCTCATGCAGAAGCTCTGATGCACACAGAATACCAAATGACAAGAGCAGCCAATATTTGTTTGTCAAGACAAATGTCCTATTCTTAGTACCTCAGCAGATTGTGGGCATTTAAGTCTCATAGAATACATTAACGTTTGAAGAAAGCAATGGCACTGAATTGATTCTGCTGCAAAGTATGGGCACAGTCCCTAGCAGGAGTCCTTCAGAATTTTAAGTATTTTACTGATACTTAAATAAAGCCAAATACACATACATGTACAGAGCATGAGTCAGCACTGTTTGAAATGTATTAATATTCAGTTAAATTTCTTAAATTTTATTCTCCCCTCTCGAAAGCAATTATTACGCTACATCGATATTGTACTAGGATACACCAGGCAATCAACTGCTCTACCAACTAGTTATTAAATTGAGTAAGATGAGGAGTCACTTAAAAGTATTAGCCAAATGAGGAGCACTCTACACAGATTCTCCAGCTCTAGAAGTTGCCTACCTGCTGTGTATATAGATGCACTAGTCATAGTTTTTCTGAAAGGTGTAATAGTAGCTGCTTTTTCTGCTTCCAGTTCTGCTACAGTCTTCTGCTTCACAGGGGCTCCTTGAGGAATGTTATTTGGTGGAGGTGCTGGGAAAATCACCTTGCCATCCTGACAAGAGATATTTACAGTTATCCCTAACATGGCAGATGCTTTATAGTTAGAGGAGCCTACTCTTCTTAATCCTGCAACTCAGGTAAGTCTTAACATCCTACAGCCATGCCACAGGAACATCTTCCTTTTCTGCATCAGCAGAAGTTTGCAAGGCTGGATGGTGAGAACAGCCTGACCAAGTTAACCACGCTGCTTTACACATTTTTCAGACAAAATTTAGTATCAGTGTCCCAAAAGCAACTGGCAGAAACACAGCACAAGGCTTGAAAGCAGGAACCAAAACAAAGAGGTAAAGTTCCTTAACTGGAAAACATCTATGCAAAATAAAACAGGGTTTTGGAAATAGCAAAATCTGCTACAGAGCTGAACTGTAATCAGAGCCTACCCAGATCTCAGCTAGGTACCAAGTATGATGTCTCACAGTTCTTGCTGTTCTCCAGGCCTCTGGAAGAACAACTGGTGGAGCTGTCAGACCTAAGTTGTACACACCACTTCAGCGCTCTGGGAGAGCTGAAGTCAATTCAAATGTCCTCCAGAGTAGATATCATAAGCATTACAAAATATTGGCAACATTATGCAGCAAAACTCAACAGAAATTAATACTTCTTACCTAAACTGCAAATTATTATTTCCTAATACTTGCAGGAGGAGAGTCCATACTGGCCCATGCCCTAAGTGTCTATTTTATTATTTCCTAATAGAGCTTGAAGTATCCTGCATATTCTAGTACCACCATTTTCTTCTGAAGTTACTCTTACAAAAACAGAAACATGTATTTATTTAAAAAAAAAAAAAAAGGATTAATGTTCTTCTGGTCCTACAGTAATGTTTCAAACATGTTTTAAATAACTATGCTTTTATCACATGAATACAACATGCAAATTCAATCTTTTTTCCCATTTTTCAACAGTAGACATTAGGTATTTGTTTAACCATGACAAGACGACAAAAGCAAAGAGGCTTCCCTTCACAAAAATGGACAGAGGAATATTCAGCTGAATACAAACGCCATTGCCCACACTGTCCATCAAGCCACAGCTGAAGGTATTGATGCATGCAGTATCTTTGAATGCATTTTAAAGAAACAACACTGATAAATGTAAAAGCATGTACTCACAAATATTTACTGACTTACCTTCATGACTACAGTTCCTCTAATAACATGATCTAGAGTCCCATAATCAAATTCATCTTTTGGATCAAAGTAGAAGTTCTCTTTGTCAGGACTAATAGCCTTTAGGAGTTTGATTATATTATTGGAATACAGAGTACTGGCCTGGGTAGCCATTCTGCTAGGCAGGTCTGTGTAGCCAATGTGTGTAACACCCTGAAAAAATTTCAAGTAGAATATTAAGGATTAGTTCAATCTCTGAAGAAGCAGCATCTCTTCCAATATATCCTTATGGAAATATATAACTGAACTGTTTCACTTATTTCTGTTTTCAGCCCCAGCTAAAACTGTTACTTGCAGCTCTAACATTATTAAGTTGGGGCAGAATTCAACATGATCAAATCCAACACCTTAAATGCTATTAGCAACAAGCCTACACAGAGAGGAAGATGTATTGGTGCACAAACTTGTCCTCTCCAAATCCTACCATTCTCTCAGAACTTAGCTTCTTAAAGCAATCAGGTAACAGATTCTCCTGCCCAATGCTTGGCATGTTCTCTGTCCTTCTGAAGGGCATGCACTGGAGGCAACTTTCTATAGGACAGAGACGTGAAGGGAGCTTCCCCAGAGCTAGCTATCTGTGCAAGTAATATGTCCAGGTTCACAGCTATGTAAATATGTAACACAATATATCCACACTGTTTAAAGAACAAATGTGAGAATACACGGCTACCAAGCTCTTGACCTTTTGGAAGGCACAGGAAGTTGAGTCTGGCATACACTTCATGTTCAAGCAGGCTTGTGTTAAAACACTGCTCCTGCAACTTACAGCTAAGATCCATGCATGCTTCCAGTAACTCTGGCTTCTTAATGCAATGCTCTGGCACCCTGCTAATAGTTCTGCACTGCTGCTCTTTTCCACAGCTCAGTGCCAGTACACTATATCCAGGGGCAATATTCCTCTGACTAAAAGCACTCCATATAAATTACTCATGCAAGCATCTGCTTATTTCTGTTCTAGAAATACTCTAATTTCAGTTTTTAAGCAATGGCATCAAAAGCCCTAGAAAACCACAAAGCCAAATACAATGCGTGACTCATGATATATACACACACAACCCTGCTTATATTAATGACAACCATGGCAGCAGTATGTCCTGCAGGCTTCCCTAACAACAGCATTATGTCCCTACATTACCACATAATCTTGGAAATCTGCTACTTTAAATTTCATCACCCAAATTTCTGTAGCAATGAGCAAGTCAAAGAAGCTATGCTGCTGCTGTCTCTTTAGGTAGACCATGAAATAGACATCAAACCGCACCCTCAACTCAGCAGAGACAAATCACTGGTCCTGGAAGTCTAAGTAGTAACACTTCCATACTTAACAACCAAATTAACGCTATACAAAGGTATCTGTTTCTTTAAAAATCTTCAAATTGTTATATATAGAGAGATGACTAGTGACCAAATGCAAATCTAAAGGATTACTTAAGCCTAAATAGCAAAAATCAGCTACTTATTTTCAGCATACCGTTTACAAAACACAGTGTGAATTCAAGCAAACTTTAAATGATCTGCAGATTAAAATGCTCACCTTATGAACATACATTTCTCCAGGCTTTGTAGTCTCAATGTTTCCCCCTGCTTCTGCAGCTAAATCCACAACGACTGAACCTTCCTTCATCGATTCAATCATATCCTTCTTAAACAAGATGGGAGCTTTTTTGCCTGACAAGACAAGGCACAGTAGGTTAAACACAAAATACGGCTTTTTATCTGTAGAGCTGAGGAGATGAGTTCTCCCCTTATCACAGAATCATAGAATCATTTAGGTTGGAAAAGACCTTTAAAATCATCCAGTCCAACCATTAACCTAACATTACCAAGTCCACACTAAACCAATTAAGGGTAGACTAGACTAAACCATATCCCGAAGTGCCACATCTACCCATTTTTTGAACGCTTCCAGGGACGGTGACTCCACCACCTCTCTGGGCAGCCTGTTCCAATGCTTGACTACCCCTTCTGTGAAGAAATCTTTCCTAATATCCAATCTAAACCTCCCCTGGTGCAGCTTGAGCCCATTTCCTCTTGTCCTATCGCTAGTTACTTGGGAGAAGAGACCAAGACCCACATCGCTACAACCTCCTTCTCTCTCTCTCTCTCTAAACCATATTTTTGTAAGCAAAATTTTCAAGTAACCAGTACCTAGGATGAAATGTCACCCAAGTTTTATTTATACAGGCAGAGAGAAGAGATGCTAGACCATCTTGCTCCCAAGTATATAAAAAAGATATGCACGGGCAGTCTACCAAAGATGCTGGCAAGTCCAATTTTGTCCTCCCTGACAACATCCAATCTTGCTATTCAAGTCATAACAAAACAAAACAAAAAAACCCCAAAGAAACAAACAAAAAAACCCCCACCATATCTTTAAGTTATTAAAAGACAGATGTACTGGAATACAAAGCACTAAAACGTAAGCTCTACCTTACTATGATTCAATTACAGAAGACAGTACTGTTTCAACGGGACTTGTTTCAGTGCACAAGCTGCATAGCAGAAGTAGCAGTGATGCAATAAATATGCAAGGGAATTACATATTCTTACTTCATTACTATCTACTCCTTGTTTAATAAGAAAACATGATGACAATGAGTCAAAGCCTGCTAGTTTATGAGAACGAAAGCTGTAAAAAAAGGCACACACTTTAAAAGCAGGCATTTACCAGCAAAGAGAAAAGGTACATGCTCACACAGACATCATTCATTAATACCTATGTTTTCGCTGCAGGCACAGCTCCAAAACATGCCAACTTACACAAGATAAATGAAAATTAGTATCTTGCACATAAAACATACCTGGAATAAGCGCTGTAGTGATGATAATATCAACATCTTGGCACTGCTTGGCAAAGAGTTTCATTTCAGCTTCAATAAATTCTTTGGACATTTCTTTCGCATAACCACCTTGTCCCTCTCCAGATTCCTTTAAGTCGACTTCCAAAGGCTCAGCACCAAGAGACTTGAACTGTTCCAGAGCTGCAGCTCTAGGAAAAGAAAAATGCAAGGGAGGAAACAACAACTACTTTAAAAATCCACCATGACTTTTCTGGTCTTTTTAGTAGCAGTCTTCAGACAAGAAATGTAAAACTTATTCTAGGATTAAGGAGACTGTACCTAAAGCCCTCAGCTTTCTGTATTTAGTGAAAAAAGTACCTGTATCACTGATTTTAGGTCCCTAATGAAGATACTTGGATAAGGAATTAAAACAGCCTATGGTTTCCTATATAGTCAGCGGAGTTGCTCCAAGACAAGTCTCAAAGCTGGGAGCTTACCTGTTAACTAACTTTGCTCACCCATTTCTCTTGTCATGACTAGGTAAACCTACAGCCCAAACTTAGATGGCTATGATGGCTGATAAATACACAACCTGTGGCTTGTCTTTCTGGGGTCTTTGTGAAACAGGAAATACTAGTGTATCTTATTTTCACAGGGAAAATTGGGTTTGGGGGGCTGCTGGGGAAGTGGTCATGGTGTTTTGGGGTTGGGGTTTTGGTTTTTTGTTTTGGTTGGTTTTTTGTTGGGTTTTTTTTTTTTTTTTACAGTTATCCTGTAAACCTGTAATTTATTTTGCATCATGTGATATCAGAGTAAATAACAAAACTAAATTTCAGTGCTAGGTGAACATTGACAACATGCAGCATATTTAACACAAACATTCTTGCATGCCAAGATAAAAGTATACAGGGTGCTTAAGAAGGGAATTAAAAAAAATCTGAAAAGTTTTAGACAAATTTTGATCATGCTTTGAAGAAAAATAAACTCTTTCCAGTTTGTTTTAAGGCATATGCAGATTTTCTAACAAACCACAGTGAAAGTTTTTTCTTATTGCACATCATAAATCTGGAGATACATTAATTTTTATTCTTTCATATTAGATATAGCAAAGTAGCACTAGATGCCACTTTTGCACAAAACCAAACATGTATGAGTAATTTTAATGCAAATACAGTATTAAGCCCATACAAATTCAGTAAGAAGGTCATTTAATAGGAAAAAATTTAATGAAGTTTGCAGTCCCTGTAGCTATAAGAAGAAAAGTGTTTGTGCTCTGTAGTTTTCCCAGATTATTCCTCTAAAAAAAAAAATGGCTATGGGACAAAATAATCCTTCCAAACATAAAAAAGGCCTAAGGAAAGCAGCATTTAAAGTAGCTTCAGCTGCAGTTTCTGTTCTTTCATCTTGAGTTTCATAAATAAAATAACTTGATCTCTTTCACTCCTTCAGCAGATTGAAAGTGTCTCTCCAAAGACTTCCTAGTTGGTCTCTAGGATCAGGAGAGTAGAGGTTAATGAGAGTATGCAGCTATGAACCTGGATCAAAGCAAGCTATAAATTAGAGCATAAAGATTACTTCTTTACTATTTTCTCTGTGTCCCCAAGAAGTACAGAGACATGAAATTCCAGATAAAAAGCCCTAACTTTCTCATTTTCATAAAGCAACAATTTTTTACTCATATAGTTCTGAACGATTTAATGAGAAAGACTCTTTGGAAGATTTGGTTGTTTTGAGGTATAAAAATCAGAGGAATAATGATGGCATAAAAGTGATAGGAACATAATTGTGATTCAGGGCAGTATTGAGTGCTTTCACTGTAATACAGCAACAAACTACTTAATATAATTTAAGATTGCTATTACCATTTTCACACACCTACCTAGTATCAAATCCACGAACCACTGCACCCATTGATTTAGCTGCTCCTGCAGAAGCCAGGCCAGCAACTCCTCCTCCGATGATCAAGACCTAGGATGATACCATCATCATGCCTGGAGCATAAACTAAAACTAGAGCTGGTCAGAAAAGCAGCAGCATTGTACTGCTTTCACAACTGCAGATACGTCTCATTAACCAGCCACTTAAACAAGTTATCTTAAGACACGGATCCCAAAATTACTTTGGTAAAGCTGCCCCATACATCTAACAGTTTAAAAGCTGTAGCTCCTAACTTCACTTATCTGAGAGCCAAGTCAGCTGTAGGTAACAGTTTATGTAAGTACAAATTTTATCCTTAATTTTTTTTCCTTCCCTAATTCAACTTTCATTTCTCTTCAACCCAATCCACCTGCAATTCCAATCAAGCAATGCTTTCCATCACAGCCTTCAACACACTAGAAATCCCAACATCTCTGACTTTTCTTAACTGCTTCCTTGCCTTTCCCCACCTGGAAAAAAAAGAAATCCACCCACACATAGGTAGTTTGATGTTTAAAACTAAGCAATTAAATAAAACTCAAATTATTCTATTATTCCCCAAAAAACACTACAGGTAGTGAACGAAAACTGCTGTGGGAATAACTATAGGGACTTCTAAAGTTTCTAGAACTAGCCTCAAGGCAGGAAAAAAGCCTTTTAACACAGTTTCACCAGTGGTTAGCTGGGGTCAGAAACTCGCCTATTCTTCTGCCACAGTATCTGTTTAATTGCACGTACCTTTGCTGGAGGAACTTTGCCAGCAGCTGTGATCTGACCCGTGAAAAATCGACCAAAGTGATTTGCTGCCAGTACCACAGCCTTGTAACTGTCAATTAAGGACGAAGACATATCAGCATTTTCCCAGGCTCAGTACAATTCCATTCATGACAGCAATCAAAAGGATGAACATTTGACTATAGCACGTGTAGGATAAAGCAAGTTTAATATTTTACTATTGAGCACAAGTTTAATAGTCTGACTTTGATCATATTTCTTGCCTTTTTTTTTTTTAAATTATGGAATGCATTTCCAGACAGAATTTTTGGACTGCAATATACTGGATGTCCACAACTATTCACTCTCTCAAATAAAACTTTACCTGAATAATAAAGGCATAACTTGCCAAAAGTTAACTTCATGGTCTTTGAAGCTACCTTCAAAGGCTGTAACCTGAGGCTTGTTAGGGAAGGAAACAGCAACAAGCAATTGCAAAACCCAGAGCAGTTTTGCAGTAAGCTCACTTAGACAAGCAAGCACACATTCAAAAAAATACTCTGACCCTAACTCAGCAGACCTATATGTCTTAGGGCAAATAACACTGCTACTTCTTTTGCCCCATCTGGTTTTTAGCCATCTGAGAATGAGTGGCTGGACACCAAGTTAACAACAGTAGAGCTATCTGAAAATGCAGGTTAACGTGTAATTATGTCTTTTCTTAACAACATTTTCTTGCATTTTTACTAACACTGTTGTGGTTCATCCCCATTCTACTCTCTTTCCTATCTCTAGTAGGGACATATGGAGGTCTGTATGCCATAAAATTAGTTCTAATTTGGAATACAGCTTGTAGATTTTATACCTTTACTAAAATACAGAAATTCATAATGTATTTAAAGTTACACAGAATGAAAACACAGAGAAGTAACCAAACATGTATGTAGATGTATACTGCTGGTGTCCACAAAATCTGGCAGCCTTCTCCAAGGCTTATTAAGCCTCACAGACATCATCTATGTAAAAAGTAAAAAAAAAAAATTTAAAAAAAAAGCAATAAAGAACCTAATAATAGAAGTCAGCTTGACGACAACAACATTTTCATTCGCTACAATACCAGTCGCAAAGCACGAAGATGTCTGAGAGTATTTGGTCTTTTGTTTACATCTGCCATGGCAATTGCATTCATACTGAGCACTGTTTGGGTTAGTTAGCTCCCAACAACATCAGATCCCAATGACAGACAATCTGTGTTCAAGCTGTCTTAAGAATATCTTTGGGCCTGCTCTGACCTAGTTCAGACCAAAAAGACACCAGACAAAGCAGTCCAGGAAGTTAAAGAACTGCCTTCAATTTTAGTTGGTTTTTGGGTTTTTGTTTTTTTTTTTTTTTTAAGCCTTGCTCTGATCTACTGCAAAGCTGACCATAAGAAACTTAAGAAGTTGTTTGGCACCTACAATAGCTTCATCCTGCTTCAAACAGCTGTGTGAAAATAGATATGCAGAATTGTTTTAGACAGACCGAATATCAAACTACATAGCTTTTAATCCAGCTATACTGACTCAGCCGGGGGGGTGGGGGCAGGGGGAGCAGGATGGGAGAGTCAGGGGGAAGGAAGAAGTAAGATTCGTACCCAGCAATGTTGGCCATGGAGCTAAGTGCATCATATCCCTGAGCAATGGTGACCCGTGGAACCTGATCCATAGCCAAGACAGTAGTTTTTCTTTCTGCGAGTTTTTTCAGGAGGTCTGGATTTTGTGCTGGATAGATAAAACTAATCAGGGTAGCCGCCGTCTTAAAAAGATCTGCCTCATGTACACCTAGAGCTGAGTTATATATAGGAGCCCTCACCTGAAGAAAGAGAGAAGTTTCCAAATTAATCAGAGGAAATAAACCAGAACACACTCCACTTCTTTTCTCCCCGCTTGCAGTCTGTCCATTCCCCTCCACAAAGTACACAAGGAAGGAAGTATATCAAAGGCTGTTTACACTACTGAACTGAGTAACTGCACTTCTCAGCTGCAGTCCATGTATTAGAATTAGTTCTAGGAGGACTGCTGACAGGGCAGTAATAGTCAGCACATACCTTCAGAAAGATGCAATGGCTTCTAACCTGCAGTTACTGGCTTTTATGACAGACAGCTACCCCAAAACCAGACATTTTTAAGCAGAATGATTACTTAACAGATGTGCCAATTAAGCTCTACAGGCTAAGAATCACTAATGAGGTTGCAATGCACCGTTACATACAGGGAATTTCAAGCATGAAGTCCAGCAGATACTTATCTTGATCTGTATTCACTTATTTTGAGTTTCTCACTTCTCTTCAGAAAGAAACCTACTTAAAAGGGTTGTTCACAAACTAGCTCACAGAAATTCTATGTTCAATCGTGACACAATAACTTCAAGTACAGCAGTTAAAGGAAGCCTCAACATCAAGTTTAAGGTCTTTCTCTTTTTTCCTTCAGGACTCTGCACAACCTAATACTTCTCAAGCAAAGTCACTTTTAGCAGTCTTCCCAGATCAGTTGTAACTCATCTAGTTACAAATACTTTTGCAACACACCTTGCTGTGGAATTGTTGATGTCTGATTTGAGAAAAGTTAGAAACTTGCATCTTCAAAATTCCATGCAACTCTCTCTAAAGTGTAACTTGAGTTCTACATTACCAATTTTGGAGTGAAAGTTTCTTAGAGCACAGATATTATCTGATCAGAGTCCAGAACTAGTCTACTTCACTCTAGAAAACATAACTCCTCCAGGGTAGTTAAAAACTTGGTAAGAAATTATCCTCATTTTTTTCAGTGCTGCCATTTATTAGTTTATTACTGTAGGTGTATACCTGAGCTACAAAAAAATACAGACTAGAACTGAATCAGAACTTAGAATGGAAAATATTAATTTAAAGGAACTTACTTACTGAACTTTCAGCAGACTATTAGAAAAAATTTACCTACATGTTTCTCCAAAAAGAATGTAATAGGAAATATATTAATAAAGCAATTACTTTGACAATCAAATCAGAAGCCAGGACTTCCTTGGTCCCCTGGATCTTTGCTCCAACTTCTCTGTAATGGTCATCAGAAAATTTGGAAGCTTCTCCAGCACCAGATTCCACCACAACATTGAAGCCTTGTTTAACCAAGGCTTGAACTCCAGCCGGTGATAGAGCCACTCTCTTCTCATTCTCAAATATCTCCTTGGGGACACCTACAGTCAGCTGTTTATAAGGAATTCCTGTAAGAGCGGCAGATGAGACAGCATTAGTTGCACTAAAGATTAATGAATTAACGGCACTCTTCAGCGCTGTACAAACACATGCAGACATGTCACACTTAGCAATTCTCCCTCCTAAGGGATGAGGAAGCAGAATGGTATTTTCTAGCAATGTAGTTTACATTTCCTTAAATTACACCATCTTGCTAGAGACCCCTGTTCTCTCAGGAATCAGCAGGTCAGCACAATCAGCCACACAAGCAGTAACAAGTGTTTGGTGCAGTTCATACCCATCTGAATTTATACAGTTCTGATTGTATAAATCAGAATGCCAATTACACAATACTTGGTGTTCTGGTGATAACATATTCTACCTGGGATAAGAAGAGTTTAAATCCCTCTCTAGTCACCCCAACTTCATTGTGAAGAAATAAATAAATGAGCTTGAAGTACAGCTGAACTACATTTTAACTGAACATGTTTTCAAACTACAGTTGTCTCAGATCACTATTAATGAATGTAACTTACATACCACAAAGTCCATTGAAAGGCACAACTACATCAATAAGGTACTCTAACAGTTGCTACAGAAATGAAAAATGTTAATTCAGGAGCAGTTCAAGAATAATGGAATATCCATCTACTAGTTTGTTCAATTATACTTCTCTTCAATGTTATGTCCTTGCCTTGACTTGTTCAAAGCTCTACTAAATAAATAACACCAGGAAACTGCAGATGCTGTAATTTACCAGTTTTAGCTTAGATGTTTGTAATTTGAAACCTTAACTGTGATCATGTACAGTTTGTGGGTTTCCAGTCTAGTATCTGGGAGTTAAACTTCTCTGAACCAATCAAGCATTTAAATACGTTATTTATAAATACACAGACTCAAGCAGAATAATTGTATATCAAACTACCACACTGCTGCAATTACACTACACAGCATGCAGTCCAGTACACAGGCCCAATTCTGCACCAGCTTTCACTGATGTCTATCTAAAATTTAAACCTGGATTGTGACATTTATACACGAGACACCTATGCCACATATGTATTAATGAAATATAACTTGAGCAGCCTAAGCAATCACTCATATTAAAGATCAAGCAACAAAAAAACCCCAAACAAAAAAAAAAAAAAAAGAAAAGAGGAGGAGGAAGGGGGTGAAAGGCTTGTTTTAAATTACAAAACTGCTTTTAATTTGGCTATCAATACTATGTATTGTGCTACAAAAATTGTAGCAGACTAGTAATGTGTTGCACATTCAAGGAAGGCCTCCTTTTCACCTTTTTTCCCTGTTTTTTTGGATAGAAACAAGCAAAACAAAGCCAAAAATATACCATAATGTAAGAGCTTTGAGGAACCCAACTATTTTCATATTTTTAAATCTATCTATGAAATTAAGCACCTTACAGTCCAAATTTTAAGTTGAACATCTGAAAATGTTTTAGATTAACAACTTTCAAGATACTATCAACTTACAACGTTCTGAAAATACAATACAGAGTTGCTAAGAACTGGTACTTAAATATCTACCTGCACTGGTTAGTCATCTAACCCTTTAAAAAAACCTGACTGAACACACCCAGAGTGAAATATCACCAGACAAAGTAATGCATTACTTTAAGTATTTTTACCTTTTTTTTTTTTTTATTTTAGCTTTCTCTTTGAAATTAAACTAATAAAATGTGACAAATAATTTGAAGACACAAGTGTTTTGATATTTTGTATGTTGGAGAACATTTAAAGTTCTTTAGATTACAAGACAAAAAGCAAATTCAGAAAAACATGCATTAAAGGAACATAAAGTCGCAACAGGAGCAAGAATGCACTTCTAAAACAGCGGACCCAAGGGTAACAATGCTTTGCAAAGATTTGCTTCATCAGCATACACCACAACTAAACATCACCACGCAACTCAGGGCACCCCTATTGCAGCAGCACTAACCACTTGAAAGCTATGGTAACTGTCGCTGTCACTCATACCCTTGTCATTTGAAGAGAACTTTCTCCTCATCTCCTGCACCTCCTCAAAATTGCAATTTGTTAGAATAACAGAGACCAATCATAATTTCAGAAAGGAAGTAGCTCTAGGATAGAAGGCAAAAAGTTCTTCAAGAAGCACTGAGAAAATAAAAACGAGAGTGCTACCTTCCCCTTCTCCTTTGGAAGTCTTTGCAGCCCACAAATACAGAGGAAGGAAGGAATAAGTTATAGCATACAGGGAATGGAAAGATGAGTGCAAATTTAAAGGCACACAGAAACTTGACTAAAGCTTACACACTTCTCAAGCAAAAAATTTATTTTTTTTTTAGCTCCTAAGGTCCGAGTTCAAACGACAATTGATGCTTCTGGTTTCTTTTTGTTCACGTGCTTTTGTGTGGGGTACCAAAGTAGAAGAGTAAATGGCTAGGAGGGATGGGACAGGAATATGCACTTGCTACATGCCAAGTGTGTTTCCTCATAGAATCATTTCTTTCTTTCACATTGTTACATCTTTTTCAGATAGAAAGTATTTGCATCTTATTTAGGAAGCAGAATGTTCAGAGACCAATACTGAAGACTATGCCCTCCTCCAATGCTTTGGGAAATCAAATACAAGATAACATTCAACAAGTTTGCCTCTCACCTTCTTTTCTCCTCTGTCCCACCATCAAATTTCTAGCAGCCAGTGAATATAGAAGCAAATTAATACAGAAGCAAACAGACATTGGTTTGCCAGCCTTTAGCTAAAGCAGGTATAGGACATTTTTCAAGCAGACTACCCTGAGCTATCACATCATTGCTCACCAAAAAAAAAAGTAGCAGACATCTACAACTGCAAAGCGAAGATCTATGTTAAAATTTCAAGACAGGGTATGATAAATACTATGTTTGAAGGAAGCTATACTATGAACACAGATTTGGTTTGTTGAACTCAGCAATTTTCAAAGTCGTTAGTTTTGAAAGGTTGAAATCTAGAATTATAAACTTAGGATCTTGGTTTAGGTTTTATTTTGAGAAAACACATCTGATATCCTTGCCATGGGTTTAAAACTGCACAAGAGCGTGAAGCTTCCGAATTGCCTTTCTAAGCCTCCACGTCACCTAATCTAAGAATTGCCTTGAGTATGTTTTAGTAACTTACTGCTTTATGACATCAAGAACATTTTCCAAAAACAGACTGATACACACATACCTTGAGCACTTTTTTGAGTCACATGAAGATTTTGAATGTATTGTTCATTGAGCAGGAAATACACAGTACTTTTTTGATACAAAGAATCAACACCAAAAGGATTCTGCCACTATCAAAAGTAGAATCATTAAATTTCACAGGCCATACAATCTTGGTATGGAACATATGTAAACTAGAATTTAGAAAAGCTAGTAAGAAGCCATGCTTTCTCATCCGCTTAACATAACCTCAACTGTGTAAAGAGGACATATTCAAAGCACAACCTCAAACTTCAGTAAACAAAGTAAGTATGTAGTCTACATCTCCAAGCTTCAGAAATCAAACATTAAAAATAACTACAAAAGCGATTTTCTCCATTTAACTTCCATCTACAAACTGAATGTTTAAAGAAGATCTTAAGTCAAAACTATCAAGAAAACTCAGAACATTGTATGTAGAGAAACAGAGAAAAATACAGGCTTTTTATCTCCTTAACCTGATTTCAGGAAGTAGTCTGTAGCAAAATAGTATCAACAAATATTAGAAACTGCCTCATAGGAAAGACAAAGGAGAAGTTTTCACTATATGCCACAGGTACTGGGATGGGAAAACAGGATACATAACCTGCCTAATTTCTAAGTTACTCTAATATCAGCTTTAAACAAACCATCTCACCTGTTCTGACGATGAGTATATATTCCGAAGAACAGCAGTATGATGTTAGCAAAAAGAAGAGGGGGAAAAAAAAAAACCAATAGTACAGGAGATTAAACAAACACCTGATCCCTCTTCTTACACAAACAAGGAGATATAAAAAACCCAAGGAAATGAAAGGAAAATGTCTATGATTTATAAATAATGCACCACTTATCTAGAGAATTGACAATAAACTGTTACAGGTTTAAAAGTTCTTTAAGATTTAGCAAAAACTGAGGAAATTTTAAGAAAGAAGCATCAAAATAAAAAGGACATTAAAAATCCCAAGATAGAGAGGGGTAAAAGTCACAGAGCTGTAGGACAAACCAATGTGGAAGTATATTGGAAACCTCAGAGTCAGTCATTCCATAAGGACCTTTCCCAGGACTTGAGAAAGTTTAGCATGTTTCTGAAGCACCTGGTGCTAGTGACTATTTGAGACAGGTTACAGGAATACTTGTTTACTCCCGTACGAAAATTCCTACTTTTCTAAGAAACAAAGAAAATAGCAGCAAAATAAATAGCAGTAAGAAAAGTATCCACCCTCCAAGTTTACTTTTCAACTGACTCCAAATCTCTTCACTCCTCAAGCACTGTTATTCTTGTACATAACACATCCTGGACTAAATGAAAGCTAATCTGAGAGAACAGAAGTAGTAACTACAGGTTTAAGAATTACTGTGACACTAGTCTTCTCAGAAAACTTACTCTTCTTAGTACTACAGTGATTTTACTAAGTGCCACTATAATCAAAGATAAAATTAAGTTATTTTATGTGCTGTTAAATTTTGATTCAAGAACACTTAAAAAGTATACATAGGCAATAATACTGCTACTAATTTGTCATTCAATGGCTGTTTTATCCTTGATTTGTCCTCTACTGAATGACAAATCTCACGTTACCAAAATGAACTATAAGGACAGCTTAACTATACACCAAAAGGCTTATCAAAGCTATAATTCTCAGCATTAAACAACTGCATTGCATGAATAGTATTTGCCCTTAAATAAGGGCTTCCACACAACAGATCTGAAGGGACAGCACTGAATGCTTAAACACATGACACTAATCAGAATCCTCTGTCCTTGTGGAAAAATTTCTGAAAAGTGATTCCTAAAACCAAGAAAATGTACACCCACATAGACAAGCATACTGATTTCAGTAAGACTGAAGAGATATTTCAGTTTCATTATCAAATTTGTGGTCAAAGTCAAATACAAAGATTGATTCGAAACTCAAACAAGGGCACTTACCTGGGACATTTGAGAAAGAACTTTGAACCTAGTTTCCTATGTCCCAGGTTAACACTCCCAACCAAAGGACAATTTGCTATATCAAGACAAGCAGATGTCTCTTTCATTCAGGTATTGAACATGGAAAAATTAATTTGGAGCATCACAAATTCATGGAATGGCAAAACTATTACCTGATCACTTCTGACAGACCCCAGATCCCTGGGCTGTCAGTAAGAGCAAAGAAATTCAGGTTTCACCATGCAACTGTGGTAAAAAGCCATGCGATACACATTATCAGGAGCCCTCAGAGTAAAGAAACTCTTCCTCTCATCATATTCCTCTCATCATATTTCTTCGGAAGCTCCAAAACACTGGGTCACCAATTTGAAAGGACCCCCAAAATGCACTAGCCACTGTTAGTATTGCCAGAAATTCCATGCAACAAAGGCTTCTCCGAGTTATACCGTCTGATCTTATGTCCTGTGTTTTCACAACCAGACACTTCTGTTCACAAACAGCACTACTTTTCTTATACTCCAAAATATCTAATGCAGTTACCTACCATGTATGTTTGGAAGAACCGAACATCACATGTACAATCAGTCTAACTCTACACATTAATCTGTCGCAGACTGAGAAGACCTAGATCTGCACTAAAGCAGGGTCTCTAAATTCCTTCCGCGAGACATGACCCATGCAGGATAATAGGCAAAACCATGAGTTTTACATATTCTCCAGCCTTCTAGCTGTCAGGCTATGCAGAGCATAGGATAGAGCAAAAAACGTCAGTTCTGATTTTCATACACCAGGCTGACATCATAAACTGGAACCAAGGATGCCCCCATTCCCTCCTCCCTTTTTTCTTTTCCTGAAAATACCAGAACCTGTCCATTATCTGCACTAAAATGTAATTAGATCAAATATACCAACAAACCCTCCACATGAAGATGCGGATCAAAAGGTCTTCAAGGTGGTACAACGTAAGACTTTCCTGAATAAAGTTAAGAGATTTTTTAGATGGGATAATTACATCCACATATAGTCACACTTGCAGACACTTACTTTGTGAGAGCTGTATTTTCCCCTGTACACACACAGTTGCACAACCAAAACTCACACGAAACTCAGGCTTTTAACTAAGAAAAGCATTTGTTTAAACACTTCCCTCAAGCAAGGTACGTGTCTCTGACCACCTATCCTTAGAAACTATCTAGAACCAAGGTATTCAAAATAAACACAAACAGCTTCTGCATAAGCCCTTTAAAACCAGTGTAAAATTGTACTGCAACTGATTGACTCAAGTAAGCTGCTAACATGACTTAAGTGTTCTTTTTATTTTAAGTCTGTACTAACGCATATCTGAAAGAGAAATTCAAGCTATCTTCATGTTTCAGAATAAAAGATTACTTACAATAGTTTAACCAATTTACCTGGCTTTGGAGCTGCCTGAGACCTGAGCATCTGGTGGGTTCTAAACATTCGCAAACACAGCATCTTTGCACAATGCACCTTAGGTGGTAACACATTGCCAAAAACAGGAGTTGAGCACCCACTAACAGCAATGCGCAGAAGGCTCGCCATTTCGCCCAGACCTCACAGCAGACTCCTCTCCACGTATGGGATCCCTGCTGCGCATGTAAAAACAAAGCAAGAATTATTAATGATACTACACAGAAGGTATGTAAACTCAGCAGCTTAAGTCCGGTCAGCTGCCAGTAGCCATGAGATGATCATTTCTCCCCCCCCCTTTTCCTTCCAGCAAAAAAAAAAAATCAACTTTTTTTTTTTTTTTTTTTCCAAGCTGAGTAAGGCAACTGTCAAAGCACAGTAACAAGCCCATGGGCAGACCGACGTTACAAGTTGACCTGGAGATTGTATTTCTGTGACTCAAGCCCATGTCCTCTTCACGCCGTTGCGCTAAACGAGCA